TATAAAATTTGAAATTGAATATTGGCAAACTTTTCTTCGAACAGTGTTCGAAGAAGTTCGAAGTAAATCGAAATAATCTAAGAAAAACCCTACGACTAATTTTTTTATCATTACCATCGTGTAGAGCATCTCTTTATTAGTTGTAATCCAAATTTTCAAAAAAATATACCGAGTAGTTTTCAAGATATGGTTTTTTGAAGTTAATGTTTGCTAATCAAGCATTGCTCCATATAGGAGAAATTGCAAAAAATCATATTTTGAAAATTACTCGGTATATTATTTTAAAAATTTGGATTCTCACTAATAAAAAGATGCTCTACACGATGGTGACGAAGAAAAAAATACTTTATTTGAAGGAAATCGGCCTAATAGTTATTGAGTAATGATTTTTTAAATTTAAAGTATTTTAAATTCATTTAAATTAGAAAAAAAATATTTAGTTCAAAGTGTGTGCACTTTTTGAAATTTTTTTAGTGCATTTGATTTGTCTTACTGAGACAATTTTTGTCGCTTTGTGTTATTAGTAAGGTGGGTAAACTCGCTTCAAGGACACCATGCATTCGGTTTCTACAACTCCGTGATGTTTGCAGTGTGTGTGCGAGCTTCGGGAGTGCTTTGGTGCGTTGCTGAAAATTGTGAAAAATGAAAATCACCAAATTCACATCCTTGTTGATGCAAACAGTGGCTTACCGGAACTCTTTCTCGTCCTGTGAGGAGTAAGTGAGGGGCTTGAAACCACCTCGAAATGAAATAATTAACATTCAACTGGGCACAATAAAATGAAAAGCTCCCAAAGGGCTGTTTGCACGATGATATCTCCAAAGTTTGCGTTTTGCACCACCTTTTCGTGGTGGTGGTGTTTAATAGCTCTCGGAAATATCGCTGCTAATCTGAGGATGTGGTTATTTTCAGTTTGTAAGTCAGTGGACTGTGTTTAAGATAAGAAAATTGTTGGAGCGGCGGTTTATTTATGGTGTTATAAAGCTGGGATTATATTTCAGTTGGAGGGTTCGAGAAATTAGCGTACTCGAAATTTTTTATGCCTTATTTGGAAACTCAAAAATGATTCAGAAAACGTGGTAGGTGTTGAATAAATAAACAAAGTATGTTTGGTGTGCGACCTTGCGGTTATGGTTGTACACCCACTGGGTTGATTATTGTACAAAACATGATAAATTATTGGACAAATTCGGATGCGATTATTTTTATCTATGCTTCACAGAATTCAATCAAGTTGATTTGTTTTTTATTTTATCAATACTATGAACCTAAATTGTATTCTCTGATAGATCAAGATTATGGAGAATGATTTTATAAAAAAATTATTTGTAATTCTTGTGTAACATCCATAAAATCACTTCCTTCTTTTTTCCGGAATCGATAAGGAATGATAACGGATGCAAAATAAACAAGGAGCAACAAGGAGTAGCACTTAGAAAGTTTGAAAAATATCGATTCGAAGTTTTCGAAGTAAAAATAGTACAAATGACCGATTAACTTTTTTTACAAATGCTTGAAATATGGTCTTCTGGACGTAAAATCACATGCTGACGCTGGGTTAAAATGCTCTACGATCACTAGTTTGTTCAAAAACACACTTTTTAAGCGGATTTAAATTTTTGATATTTTTGACTTTATCAGAAATTTTCTCGATAACTATTTATCGTAGAACAGTAATCTTTTTTGGGTATGATAGAAAATTAAATTTGCTTTCGAACGGTACCAAATATAAGAGGTTATTACCAATAAGTCCGGAGTTATTCGCAATGGACCGTTCCGGGTGCCAAAAATCGACCAAAATCTCGACAAAAATCAAAAAAATTTTCATCTTTAAAATTGATCTATTTAACGTTTTTTACATTTCTAGAGGTTTTAAAGACTCAAATAAGTGCATAAAACGACATTGGGACAAGTTTCAAAAATTTCGAATTTTTTTAATTTTTGAAGATGAGCACTAGTAAAATCGTAAAAATAGTCAATTTAGTAAAAGTCGTAAAAACGCTTGAAATATGGTTTTCTAGACGTAAAATTTCGCGCTGAACACGATGCAACAAGTTAAAATACTCTACGATGCATAGTTTTTGAGATATTGAGTAATAAAATTAAGAATAAGTCTAGAAAAATCCGATTTTGACAAAAAAATCAAATTTTTTTTATTCTTATAAAAAACTAGGACTACATGTAAAATTAACCGGAGAATACGCCTGAATAAACCGTTTTGACCTAGGACTCATAGTTTTTGAGATATTAATTTTTTTTTAATAAAATTAAAAATGGCTCTGTATCCGGAATCATAACCCGGAGCGACTTCCGGTTTGCACCATTAAATAGATAATTTCAAGCTAATTCTAATGGTTTTTAGCTTTATGCTCCAGGTCTTATAGTTTCGCAGAAAAACGTGTTTAAAATTTCACAATTTTGACAATTTTGACTTTTTGAACGGCGATTACGGCCAAACTATAAGACTTAGAGCAAAAATTTCAACTCCATCGTAATCAGCGTAAGAAAATCAATCGACTGAGGCGAAAGCCAAGTCGATATCTCGCAAAAAATTCTTGAACTTTTAAACGCCGATTACGGCGAAACTAAAGGAGATAGCCCAAAGTGGTTAGTTTAAATTCGTAATCAGCGGGCCAAAATCTATCGGATAAGATAGGTTTAAATCGAATCTGAGACATGTTCAAAAACACTAGATTTTAAGGGGGGGGGGGTGTTAACAAATTTTTACTTTTTTTTGTTTTGTAAATTGCGGCAAAATTGTGCCTCAATGATATAATACTTTGACCTAAACCTATGTAAAATGTTCCGGGGAATCGATTGGCGTCAAAAAAACTGCAAAATTCCTAATAGTTTTGAAGTTATAGTCGGATTTACATTTTCCATACTTTTGACTTTATCACAAATTTTCTCGATAACTATT